CCCATTTTGAACTCGTTTTTCCCCCTTTTTGCCAGTTTTTTTTTTTATTCTTTTCGTGAAGTATGGCTGATACATTTATCTTGGTGAAACAAGTAAATTTTAGGAGAAGAGTAGTAACAAAAGTTAAGATTTAGTCCTAACGGTAAATTTTTACTAGTTTATAGACCATGTGTAAATTATATTAGTGTAAACCAACACATTATTTCGCTTAAAAATAAATTTCAGGAGAAGAGTAGTAACAAAAGCTAGTAGTTAGTTTTAAAGATTAATTCCTGGTGGTTTGCAGACTATATATAAAATTCCGAACTCAAATCCAAATTGATATAAAAAATCTTGCATTTAGACACGTTGATATATATTGAAACGATGTGGCATCTGCTCATACACGTTAGTGTATAAATTAGAATTAATAATTATTAATGTATCAAAGATTAATCCTAGTTTTAATTCCTTTTTGGACGAAAAATTTTGTGCTCATTTTTACTCGTTGCCTTGTTACATTTGGGCAGAGAGGCAAAAACATGGGAATATTAGCCTTGGCTTAGATAGTCAATAATGATACTTACTGGCAGTCTGGTACAGTTCCGGTACAGCCCGGTGGGGACATAGATTATAGAAGCTGCACCACTAGCAAATGGACAAAGCAGCAAAACTGGGTCCCAGAATCCTTGAGGTCAAATTTTTCTGGTTTACTTTTGCAGGATAGTTTTAGAATTTCTTGACGCTGATGGGTCAGGCAGATTTTGCATTTTGGACTTTGGTGCGCTAATAGCGCCTCGCTTCAATTTTATCTTTAGTTTTCAAGACTTCCGGTTACGTGAGCAAAATGAATTACAAAACCCTTTTGACTTCAGACTTTTCTTAATCTTATCCTTCTTAGTAGGTTGGCCTTGAATTTCTAATACGCCATATATATAATGTACTTCAAGGAAATTAAAAAAAAATCCGTTGATTTGACCCTTAGGAAATCCGATGATTGTTGTTTGACACGACTATATATTCATAAGTCATGTTTAGGTATGCAAATGAGCAGAGTCGAATCGAATTTTGGGCTAATCGAATTGAGCTTCTAGTTAATTTTATGAAAATCGAACTCAATATTAAAATGTTAAATTCGAGTTCGAGCTCAACTCGAATTATTATTATTATTTTATTTTTAAAAAAATAAAAAATAATTATTTTATTTTTAAAAATAAAAAAATAATAATAATAATTTTTCTTAATAAATAATAAAATATTAGAGATATATGTAATTTTACTATTAAAATAAAAAATTTAAAAATTTAAAAATATATATAATCGATCTCGCGAGCCAACGAGCTTAATGTTTTTTAGGTCGAGCTCGATTTGATTAGCTCGAACTCGATTCCAGTTCGATATTTACCGAGTTTGAATCGAACTCATATTCAAGTCGTTTGCAGCCGTAATCACGTTTGGATAGATTCTATGTTTAGAGATCTAGTTGCTCAAATCGTACTACACCGTCTCGTTAAAATGATGTGGCAAAATCTGATCAATTGAATTTTTTAAAAATCATGCCTATCCAAATTTTGATCCATATTCACAAGAGTATCATCACAAGTTAAAAGCGTGGTTCGCATAGGATTAATGAAAATCACCATAAACCGCCTATTATACAGGTGCCATATTTCAAGCTTTTATCTTTATTTAAAAGCAAGAGGGAAAAAAACACAGTTGATTTGAGATAAAGCAGTAGCAGTAAAGAAAAAGGGAGCAGAGGGGACGATTAGAAGTGAAGTGACGGAGAGTGGAGATGGCGGACGAGTGCGGTGGCCTCGTGCATGTCTGCCTCCGCTGAGCTGTGTCGCCAATATTTCTTCAAAGCGGGTCAAGTCAACCCCACCACGTACTCCTTTTGAATACTTAATTATTTTTTAATAAATTAAAGTCAATATTATTAATACATAAATTAGTTTAAAATCGTTCCAACAGATATGCTTGATAAAGAAATCTATACTAAGATTATATCGTGAATCACACAAACCATCGATCTAACCAATTACACAAGTTGTTTCAACACGATTTGTTCGACAAAGAAAATTATAGTACTAGAATTATACCGTAAATCACAAACTATCAAATTTAAGCAATTGTACAAGTCGGTTTTCATAAATATTTGTGCATTATGTTATCTCAAATCCGACCTTTTCATGAGTACTTAATTACTCGTACTAATATTTATTTATTTAATTATGTTACGATTACGTGAAGAGCAATGGACTGTTCATAAATGTCGTCTGACGTGCATGCTACAATTTTTTTTTTTTAAAGTACTATTACGACTTTATTACTATAAAAACACTTAAAAGACTCCTCCCTCATGCGATTGACCTGACCTTTTGATTGCTTAAATTACAAATCCCGTTCCTTGCTCGATCGACGTTGACTTAACTCATGAATAGAGGTGTTAAAATTGGTGATTTGGATGAATTAAAGTGGATAATGAATATAATTTGTGTTTGGATTGCATTTTCCGTCATTTTTCATGGAAAAAATACTGTAGCGATTTGATATATGTGAGGGAAAAAGGTGATAGGGAAATGTGATCAGGGAAAACGACAATATTTTTCGACAGAAACAAGCAATCCAAGCAAGGCCGTGAGTCAACTCATTTTTACCCATTTTATTAGATGGGTATCAATGAATAAGTCAAAAAATGAGTTGGGTAACCCAATTACTTATTTACAACCCATTTATTCCAATTTTTTACAAACTTGTCTAAATTTATTTTGTAAACTAAATTATATATTTATATCACCCTTTGCAGTTTGCACCCATCATTAATTTTAAATATTTACTTGTAATGCTTATTACGTCTCATTATCATTTTTCCTCCCATTTGCGTGATATGTCGTAAAATTACATACTATTTAATAATTGAACAATAAGAATGTTTTTGTTGTGTAATATGGAAAGGATTTGGAACCATGAAAAAGAGAGATTAAATAATGATTGACCAACTTATGAACTTGAAACTGGATACCAATAAAATACAAATGAAAATAGGACAGAAAAATCTCCAAATGTATAGTTATCCTTTAACTTTAAATTAAAAACTGGCCAACAAATTCTTCCATCTTTCGGTTAGGATCTCCATTTTTTTATACTAACTTTGGTCAAAGGTGATGAAGAAATTAGGATACTATTACTAAAGACAATTCTAAATGGGTTGATTGGATTTGATGGATTATCTAAATTAAATGGATATTATTGAATAACCCATTTATACCTATATATAAAATCTTAAGATATCCATACTCATCTATTCATAGACGGGTACGAATAAATTTGTCTAAATGGATTTGTTTGACACCTATACTCATGAACAGTGCTTTAAAATTAAGCGGATTCTGTTAAAAAATTTGTAAACCGTTAGATAAAAGCTTTATGCTGAAACCGGCTCTGCATTTGAGCACTTCAAAAAGATATTCAAACCTCATTAATTTTAGAGATTCCTACATTTGAGTCCATCGTAGGCGTGATCTTCAACCGTTTAGATTCAATTAATTAATTGTTTCTTTGTCTGAAAAGTCTTTGTTTCAATGGGTTAGGTTGCTGCAACGTTCTGTGCACTTAAACAACGGAAGCCACTAGCAATTTTTTGCCGGTTAAGTTGGCTTTAAAAAAGCAAATTTGGACCATTTGACAGTTCCTCCCGAAGCTTGTTTAATTAGGCCATATATTGCTGCTCAATTAATATACTAGCCCATTGTATCCAGTACTCTATTCTAGCTACGCACAAAAAAGATTCGACCATCGTTTAGAATGTTGTTATGTTATAATAACAACTTTAAGGAAATCGAGCCATTTCATGCGTAGTCTCAATCTGTCATCGATCGATTCTGCCCAATAATTCAATAAAGTCATTCTTTATTTACCACCCCCCCCCACCCCCAAAAAAAAGACATATGAAGTGGCTGTGGCCAGGGGCGGGGAGCAGCCCAGGAAAGCAAATTAGCAAAAACACCCACAAATTACAATTCACTTCAACATTCGAGGCCACGTTATAAAAGCCATTTCGTGGATGGTGTCTCATCCCATCCCTTCTTTTACAACACAATGTTGGCTTCTCGCTGCACATTATTATGGTTTCAAGTGAGATTTGAAGCATAAAAGGAGAGTCATACTTATAGAGAGTGTTTCATGCACGGCCTACGAGATTGTAGAGTTCATGCATGATTAACAATGCAATCATATCCAATCTCCTTTAAAAGTTGCTTTTGGGGTCATATTTTATAGAATGTATTTGTCAATTTCACCTACCAAAAAGTAGCATTGTAATGATGTAAAATTCATCAATTTGATTAATCTTTATCGTGCCTCTATGACCAGTTCTTGGACTGATGTTTTGAAATGGATTTGCGAATAATAATCGGTGCAAGCTGTGCTATTTCCGAACTTCTTGGTTGCTCTATTTACACCTCATGTTTCGACTAGTGAAATTAGAAATAATAAAAAAAAAAGTCATCTAGAAATTCATATTTGGATTATAGCTCGTTGTGTATGCCACTTCGTTAACAATGGCTTTCTTGAAGGTGATGAAACGAAATATACATCAACCCCTGAAAAGATTTCCTATAGCTCGTTTTATGCTCCACACCACCTCACAATTAATATTTTTCTTCAGATTACTGCCCAGGCCCCTTTATTTCTTTATCTCCATGGAGATGGAACTCTCAAAAAAGGTCACTCTTTGTCCTTTTCTTAAGGACTCTCTCTCTCTCTCTCTCGCTCTTTTTTTTTTATTGTTAATTAATTTTATTTTTCAGTTCTATCCTACCCAGAAAATAGTGGGCCGGGTTGGCCAGTTAACAAGTCCACCACAACATGCAGGCCGTTTAAGGGCCACTTCATTTGACATTGGAAGCCCAAGTTACACAACAAATCTAACGGCCTTTTACTGCGTAGGCTGTCTCTCCGCAACGGTTATTCTGCGACCAAGTTCTCTCTTTTTTCGCGGTCTTCTTTGAACACAAGCTGTTTTTCGATGAACTAAGTAATCACCTGCCAACTTCCATTACAAAATTTTCCTCAAATTAGATACCTTACCAACTTCTCCTAATTTAGCGCAAATGCCTAGCTTGTCGGAACCAATATCAGATTCAAGTTCTCTTGACGAAATTTGTGCGGTCAAAATCTAATATATATCCTAGACAATACTGCAGAGCCTCTCAGATGATGGTTTAGTCTTGAATCATTTTCTAACCTCACATTGTCATCCCCCTTGTGACACCCTGAATTCATCTTCTATAGAGAGTCTTGGGGGCTACCCCTGGCAGCTTGGCATTGCGTTCTCATAAAAAATGCAGGGTTCCAGCTGCTTCATCCTTTCTCTCCTCCTATTTTCTCCCATAGTATCTTCACTTTCTTCTGCACTTTCGGACGAAGAAGCATCAGTAATTGCTATTGCTGAGGGCCAATTCTCAACCCTTCCTGAAAATGGCGACTTACCTGATGATTTTGAGTTTAATGTAGACGTTAAAGTTGAATGTCCCAATCCAAGGCTTCGACGTGCCTACATTGCGCTCCAAGCTTGGAAAAATGCCATACATTCTGATCCTTCAAATTTTACAGGCAATTGGGAAGGGCCTGATGTTTGCAGCTACAATGGTGTATTTTGCGCAACTGCCCTTGATGATCCAAATACAACAGTTGTAGCCGGCGTCGATCTCAACCATGCTGATATTGCAGGCTACCTTCCTGTTGAATTGGGATTGTTGAAAGATGTAGCTCTTCTTCATCTGAATTCCAATCGTTTTTGTGGGATTGTTCCCAAAAGTCTGTCCAAGCTCGCATTATTGCATGAGTTGGACATAAGCAACAACAGATTTGTCGGCCCTTTCCCTAAATCAGTCCTTTCGATGCCTAGGCTTAAGTACCTCGACATCAGGTTCAACAATTTTGAGGGAGAGTTGCCTCCTCGACTTTTTGACAAAGATCTTGATGCATTATTCGTGAATAATAATTGGTTCAATTCATATATTCCTGAGAATCTCGGGAAATCTCCAGTTTCTGTGGTGGTATTTGCAAATAACAAGTTCAAAGGCTGCATTCCGTCTACCATTGGTAACATGACAAACACCTTGGATGAAATTATATTCTTGAAGAATGAACTTTCAGGGTGTTTGCCATCAGAAATCGGACAGCTGAGGAATACAACTGTCGTCGATGTTTCATTCAATTCATTCTCTGGCATCCTGCCGAGGACATTCAGTGGCCTTGAAAAGGTCGAGTTCTTGGATCTTTCTCACAATATGTTGACAGGCTTTGTTTCTGATGCCGTTTGCCAGTTGCCAAGTTTGTCAAACTTCTCATTTGCATACAACTACTTCAACGGAGAGGGAAAACCCTGCGTGCCAAATTCTAGGAAAGATATTGCAGTGGATGATACAAGTAACTGTTTGCCAGACAGACCGAAACAAAAGTCCCAGAAAGAATGCAATCCTGTGGTGAGCAAGCCGGTTGATTGTAGCAAGGCCAAATGTGGTGCGTCAAAGCCTTCGCATAAAGAAAGCCCTGCTGGGAGGTCTAAGCCGTCAAAACCACAGCCTAAACCATCACCAAATCCACCAAAATCGACTCAACCAAAGCCTAATCCTCCGCCAGTTGTAAAGCCACAACCTCCAAAATCAGCCCCTCATCCTCCACCGGCTGCAAAACCACTGCCTCCAAAATTATCCCCTCATCCTCCACCAGTTGCAAAGCCACAACCTCCAAATACTCCGCCAGTTACAATGCCATCACCCGTCGTTCATTCTCCTCCACCACCAGTCTCCTCCCCACCCCCTCCCATTTTCTCCCCACCACCACCACCAGTAGTCCACTCCCCACCTCCTCCAATCTATTCCCCGCCACCACCCGTCTTACATTCCCCACCCCTGGTAGTCCACTCCCCACCACCTGTGGTCCACTCTCCACCCCCTCCAACTTATTTCCCACCACAACCCGTTGTTCACTCTCCTCCCCCACCACCTCGTGACTACTCTCCACCACTACCCGTTTCCTCTCCTCCTCCTCCGCCACCTCCATATCAAGATGTTGTACTTCCGCCAACTATTGGTGCGGTCTATGCATCACCACCTCCACCAATATTTCCGGGATATTAGCTGATACTAATAAACTGATGGGTTTTACTTAAAATTACCAGTAACACCACCAGTTTTGCTAACCAATAGCACTAGTAGTTATTAGAAGAAACAGAGGGATTAATTTTACCAATTCAAAGTGGTATTTTGGTCGCGTTCCTATGATTCAGGATACGAAATGTAAATTGTATACTACCTATTACAACTGTAAATAGACAAATCAATTAAACCCAGGATGGCCTGGCGTTGTGGTATGAACCTGATGATTCACTGCTGTTTCACATAGTCAACATATTTGCCTACTTTTAGATTAGGGTTATTATCACTTTACCCCTTAACGTTTGGTGCCACTGTTAATTTCCCCCTTAACATTATATTTTAGTCACTTTACCCCCAAGACTAACTGTCAAACTTAACGAATTTTGTTAATTAAAGTGAAAAGACACGTTTAACCCTTAAAATTATTATCACTTTATCCCCATAAACTATAGTCTCATTATCAATTTACTCGGTAGAATTCTTTTTTAGGCAATTTATCCTACCATTAAACCAACTTAGTAAGTTAAAAAAAATTTAGAAGAAAATATCCTGCTCTTTGCATAATAAAAATAATAAAAAATTTAAAGCGGTTCTTCTCCTTTTTAGTATCAAGAACAAAAATCAAAGTATTAATTTCTTCTTCTTGGCAATCTTATTAATATATATATATATATATAAGATGGAGAGAGGAAGGGGGAGAGGGAGAGGGAGAGGGAGAGCTCAATTCTTTTTTTTTTAAATTATAAATAAGAAATAATTAAATACTTTTATTATTTTAAAATTATTTCACTTTTCTATTTACTACCAAATTCCAATCCTAATCCTCATAACCTTAAAGTAATATGATAATGTTAGACTTTTCTTTATTTTTTTTCTTTGCAAATTCTAATTTTCTGTCTCCTTCTTTCCTATCTCTTTTTCTTTTCCTAGTATTGATAAGTGTGAAAAAAAAAATTTGAGAAAACCCTTTTATTTTTATGTTTTTTGATCTCTTAAAGTGAAAAAAAAGGAAGAATAACCATTCCAATTTTTTTTACCTTTAATTATATATAAAAAAGGGTGAATATATTAAAAAAAATTTGACCATACTAGTTTGATTAACGATGAGGTAAAATACCTAAAAAATAATATTATGAACTAAAATGATTGTATCACTATAATCTAAACAAATAAAGTGATAATAACAATGTAGTAATGCTATAAAATAAAAGGATATTTTTGTCCAAAATTTCTTAACATATTGAGTTGAATTACTTATGCGAGTAAAATGACTAAAAGATAACTTTATGTGGTAAACTGATAGTAGTGATATAGTTTAAGGGAATAAAATGAAAATAACCCTTTAGATTATCATGTTTAAGGATATCAGTTATCCTGCCCGGAATGTCCGGTTGTATTTCATCTATCAGGTTTTGGCAGTTCTCTAAAAACGGCGCAAACAAATGCAGAGCATAGGGATGGCAATGGGGGCGGGGGGCTCTCGGGGCGGGGGTTGGGGCGGGGGGGAATTATTTCCCCCCGCTTAGAAACGGGGCGGGGGGCGGGGGAGTATACCCCCGCCCCATCCCCCGCCCCGCCACCCGCAAAAAAATATATATATATATAAATATATATAATATGTAAGTTAATTAGTTATAAACTTATGATAATGATATTATTAGTTAGATGTATTATATAATGTATATTAGTTTATGTAATATAATTGATATTATCAATTATATGAATAATTATGCATGTCTACTAATAGAATTTATTAATTAGTTATATTAAATTTACTAATACATTTATACTAAATTTCTAATTACACTTAATAGAATAACACTTTTATCTCAAAAAAAAGCACAAACACAATAAAGAATTAGTGATTGCATTTGTACTAAAAGTGAAAACTTGACTATTTTAGTTATATTTATTTCATCATATTGGATTGTATTCAAATAACTTCTGTTTGATTGTTTTTATGAGTTTCAATTGTAAAATTACAATGAATAATAATTTGGTGATGTGTTGATATTTTAGTACTTGATTATTTATTAAAATTTAATTATAATAAAGTTATATAATAAAATTTTATTAACCCCGCGGGTGCCCCCGCGGGGGAAGCGGGGCGGGGCGAGGCGGGGGAGCGGGAAACGGGGGACGGGGGGAACTAAGAGCATCCACAATGGGGGTGTATTACACCCCCATTACACCACTCCATGACACGGCTCCAATGGGGAGCCGTGTCATGAAGATTACACGCATCACATGTATGATGCGTGTAATTCTCAGAATGTGGGCCTAGGCAACGGTACAATTTCAGCATTTCCAACGGCACCCAATATTTCCTTTCCAACGGCACCCAAATTTCCTTTCAGCATTTCCAGCATTTCCAACGGCACCCAAATTTCAGCATTTCCAACGGCACCCAACAGCATTTCAGCATTTCAGCATTTGATTTAACTTATGTAATATTATGTTATGGAGTTCAACTAATTACATTCCGAATTATTAATTAAGTATGGATTATTATGATATCTTCGCATTTGAAGTATCAAATATTTGTTTAATTTCCTACATAATTATTTTTAAAAAAATAACAATATATTATTTTTGAAACATAGAAAAAGATATATTATTCAAACTTAAAAATTAATAATATCATTTTTAGAAAATAAAAAAATTCAAAATGTACAAAATTTAACGAAAGTTAGTACTTTATTTTTTAAAAATAACAAAATTAGTTTTAAAAATTACTTTATTTATTTATGGGATATGAGTTATGCATTATTAAAATAAATATTTGATTAATTGTGGACCCATGCTATTACACCTTGTGGAGTGTAATCCATTGTGAGTGAAAGTGTAATAAAAGAGGAGAAAGTGGAATGCTGACGTGGCATGTGGATTACACTCCACAAAGTGTAATAGCATTGTAGATGCTCTAATAGGCAATGGGGCGGTGGCGGGAACCCTGCCCCGTTGCCATCCCTAGCAGAGCATCTTGGAAGTGGAAGACTGATTGATTCTTTCTTGTACTGTTGTGTTTGGTGGTTCAGTCTATTGTTTGCAGTTCAAAACTGGGCATAGCGTAGACATAAGATTTTGGTACTTCAACAAACTGGGCAAAAGGACCCTCAAGAATTCCATTTTTGGCTAAAGGCAGTAAATAGAATAGAGCAGGCTGCCAGCAACGAGGGGTCGGGCCCAACAAATGAAGACTGAAAGCAAAAGCATGTCAGTCCTAGGCCCCAAATGACTTCAATTAGAGAAGGCACCATTAATTAAAATGAACTCATTTAAAGTGCAAAACTTTAATGTAATAACTACTGGATTAAAAGCTAGTGGAGTGGTAAAATTAACTTTAGATGTGCAATTCATTTTAACTTGAGAAGTGCAAAACTTATTCCAACAAGCAGACTAGAAGCTGCTACAGTATATTCTATGAACCGTATGAGTAATGTTGCTAAATCTGTTTATAATTGATACATTGGTTAATTTAGTAATATTGTTAGAAGCTCAATATTTATTCATGATAAATTGCCTTTTGTGTTTATCTGAAAGTAAATACATGTTTTTTTTTAGCATCCGGTGTTTAATAATTGACCTATTGATATTTCACATAGTATACCCTACCCACTGGCTGCAAATCAGCTGTTGGTGGCAGAGGAAGAAGGAAGGTCCCATGCATGCATTATTTTAATACCAGCATCTAACTCGACCCGTACAAGTATCATGGGCCTGTGAAAGGAAAACATATATATATATGCTACACGACAAATCTAAATTATTATATATTTCTTGTGATTTAATAAAGAGAAAAATGCAGTTTTGGTACCTAAACTTTGACGCACGAGCGGTTTTAGTCCCCAAATTTTGGACGAAAACAAATTTGGTACCCGAACTTTCAAATTTTGAGCACATTAAGTACCCTTGACGATTTTTTTCCAAATTATTACCGGAAAAAGCAATGTGATGGTCACATGTCCGGCCGAAATGGAATTAAAAAAGGCCAAAAATGCAGTTTTGGTACCTAAACTTTGACGCACAAGCGGTTTTAATCCCCAAATTTTTGACGAAAACAAATTTGGTACTCAAACTTTCAAATTTTGAACACATTAAATACCCTTGATGATTTTTTCTCAAATTATTATCGAAAAAAGCCATATGACAGTCACGTGTCCGGCCACAATTGTATAAAAAAAGGCCCAAAAAATGTCAAATGCCATTATAATACTAAGTATTAAATTTAAGGACTAATAGCGTAATAAAGAAAAAATTCAAGGACTAAATAACATCACATGAGTCAACAAAACCCAAGAACTGATACAAATGAGCTCCAATTCCAGACAAATTTTGTGACTTGATTCTTAGATTAATGTACTGGAATTGGAGCTCATTTGTATCGGTTCTTGGGTTTTGTTGACTTATGTGATGTTATTTAGCCCTTGGATTTTTTCTTTATTACGCTATTAGTCCTCAAATTTCATACTTAGTATTATAATGGCATTTGACATTTTTTGGCCTTTTTTTAAATACAATTATGGCTTGACACGTGACTGTCATATAGATTTTTTTGGTAACAATTTGGAAAAAAATCATCAAGGGTACTTAATGTACTCAAAATTTGAAAGTTCAAGTACCAAATTTGTTTTTGTCCAAAATTTGGGGACTAAAACCGCTCATGCGTCAAAGTTTAGGTACCAAAACTGCATTTTGACCTTTTTTTTTCCATTTTCGCCGGACACCTGACAGTCACATGGATGTTTCCGGTAACAATTTGGAAAAAAATCGTCAAGGGTATTTAATGTGCTCAAAATTTGAAAGTTCGGGTACCAAATTTGTTTTCGTCCAAAATTTGGGGACTAAAACTGCTCGTGCGTCAAAGTTTAGGTACCAAAACTGCATTTTTCTCTTTAATAAAATGTGATGAATATTTCAAACAATTATTGCTGTACACACCAAATACCAGATTCCACGCTATGGTCCTCTGATTTAAGTCGTAAAAAATGTTATCCGTCGAGTCCAACCCTCCGTTGGTCCTTCCCATACCAGTCGCAGGGCAAAATGAAAAAGAAACGGTTTACATCATTTTGTGCTATTTTTATTTTATTTTATTTATACTCCTTGAAAACACCTGAAGTTTTTGAATATTGATT